GTCCCAGTGGACTGGCGGCTAGCGAACGTGACGCCCATCTACAAGAAGGGCCGGAGGGCAGACCTGGGAAACTACAGGCCTGTCAGTTTGACCTCAGTACCAGGGAAGCTCATGGAGCAGATCCTCTTGAGAGTCATCATGCAGCACTTGCAGGGCAAGCAGGCGATCAGGCCCAGTCAGCGTGGGTTTATGAAAGGCAGATCCTGCTTGACAAACCTGATCTCCTTCTATGACAAAGTGACGCGCTGGGTGGACGAGGGAAAGGCTGTGGATGTGGTCTACCTTGACTTCAGCAAGGCTTTTGACACCGTCTCCCACAGCATTCTTCTCAAGAAACTGGCTGCTCTTGACTTGGACTGGCTCATGCTTCATTGGGTTAGAAACTGGCTGGATAGCCGGGCCCAAAGAGTCGTGGTGAATGGAGTCAAGTCCAGTTGGAGGCCAGTCACTAGTGGCATTCCCCAGGGCTCGGTGCTGGGGCCAGTCCTCTTTAATATCTTCATCAATGATCTGTATGAGGGCATTGAGTGCACCATCAGTCAGTTTGCAGATGACACCAATCTAGGCACATGTGTCGATCTGCTCGAGGGTAGGAAAGCTCTGCAGGAGGATCTGGATAGGCTGCACCGATGGGCTGAGGTCAACTGCATGAAGTTCAACAAGGCCAAGTGCCGGGTCCTGCACCTGGGGCGCAATAACCCCAAGCAGAGCTACAGGCTGGGAAATGAGTGGTTGGAGAGCTGCCTGGCAGAGAAGGACCTGGGAGTGATGGTTGATAGTCGGCTGAATATGAGCCAGCAGTGTGCTCAGGTGGCCAAGAAGGCCAACAGCATCCTGGCTTGCATAAGAAACAGTGTGGCCAGCAGGTCTAGGGAGGTGATCGTCCCCCTGTACTCGGTGCTGGTGAGGCCGCACCTCGAGTACTGTGTTCAGTTTTGGGCCCCTCGCTACAAGAAGGACATTGAGGTGCTTGAGCGGGTCCAGAGAAGGGCGACGAAGCTGGTGAGGGGCCTGGAGAACAAGTCCTACAAGGAGCGGCTGAGGGAGCTGGGCTTGTTCAGCCTGGAGAAAAGGAGGCTCAGGGGCGACCTTATCGCTCTTTACAGATACCTTAAAGGAGGCTGTAGCGAGGTGGGGGTTGGCCTGTTCTCCCACGTGCCTGGTGACAGGACGAGGGGGAATGGGCTTAAGTTGCGCCAGGGGAGTTTTAGGCTGGATGTTAGGAAGAACTTCCTTACCGAAAGGGTTGTTAGACACTGGAACAGGCTGCCCAGGGAAGTGGTGGAGTCACCATCCCTGGAAGTTTTTAAAAGATGTTTAGATGTAGAGCTTAGGGATATGGTTTAGTGGGGACTGTTAGCGTTAGGTCAGAGGTTGGATTCGATGATCTTGAGGTCTCCTCCAACCTAGAAATTCTGTGATTCTGTGAAATTCATTTACCATTTGAACAGTCAGGGATGCTTGAATGTATTTCTCAATTTAGAAAATGAACTGACAGACACAACTGTTTTGGATAGACACTAAAAATATACGCTGAAAGGACTGCATAAAGTCTCAGGTAGAAATTAGCTTTTTTATTTTTTTTTTATTTTTATTTTTTTTGTCCAGTGCAGTATCTGATGAGAAATGAACTAAGCTTCTTCCTCAAAGTCACAGCTATAGATCAGCTAGAAGCTTGAAGGACTACTTAAATATCGATAGGTGGCACATTGATCTATGGCTCCAAGAATTGTGCCAAGAAAGGAAAATCAACAAGATCTTCACCTGATTTATGTAGGCCAGACTTTTCTTCTCTGACTTGCCTTTCAAAGGTGATCTCACAGAGACGTAATTAAAACTTGATGAAGTTATTAAATAATCATGATGATTTATGTCTGTATGCTGCAACCCTGTGTATGTTTCTGTGTTGCTCCCAAATGTGGCAAGTTCTTGCCTGTGAAAATGAAGGTTAGAGAGTGCCAGGCTTCAGGCCAGAAATTTTTTATGCAGCTCTTTTGTGAAAGGTCTCCAAATCATTCTAACGCTGGATTGTTGTTTACAGTTAGTCAAACTGGAAGTTAGTGAAACAAATCAACGAAATTTTTAATCAGTAAAACTCGGAAGCCTCTAAATTTGCCCACTTTGTAGAGGGAGGTGATACTCTGACAGTGGAGATGCTGACTTGGGGCTGGAGATAGCAGGGTAACACCAGAAGTTGTTACTCAGTCTTAACTCTAGCCTAGAAACCACTAATAACACAGTATTGCCTTTTTCTTCATCCTCATCTTGCTTATACAAAGGAGAAAGAAAGTATTGAGTCAAGGGTTATCTTTCATTAGATATTTAACCACAGCAGAATGTAGGCCTGGCCTGAGTTGCAGCCTATCGATATACTATAATATAAACATTGCTGATGTTCTTCGTTTGTGAGGTTTCTGTTGAATTGGATTATTTGGACTACAGTTTTTACGACAAACAAGAAGCAGCCTTTGAAGTCGAATATGGATTTTTTTTTTTCTTTTCTGTCTGGATGCTAGTGGGAATTTTGAAGAAGCTGTTTCTCATTTGTTTTTGAATTTTTCTTAGCATTTGTTTTGTGCTTTAAGACGTTGATCTTGTTTTTGGTTTTTTTTGTTTGTTTGTTTTTTAACAGGCCTAACTATCTCCATGTATATCAATACCACCAATTTTCTACTCTTTCCTTTTTGGACTGAAAAGACAAGCCACAATATGTTGTCTAGTTATATAAAAGGTGGGGGGCTAGCACCTCTGATTCTGCATGCAGAGTAGTCAGCATTTTAGATACAGTTTGGAGCCGATTATCATAAGGAACATGAGTTAGAACTGATAATCAAGTTTCTGAGAATCCCTAGCCTTTCCATTAATTTTGATTTATTGATTTTTTATGAGTAGGAGCAGAGATAAGCTCTGGCTCTGAGGAGGATCAGAAAGGCCAGTGTGTGTCGACGTTATTGTCTTGTTTCGTGCTGTGATTTATACAGTGAAGGTACTGGCTGCATTCTTCAGCTTGGTGTTATTTTATTTCTTCTCATCATTATAGTATTTCATGACTTAAAGACAAGTGCCCTCTGAGAATCTGTTCTGTTGTGTCTCTAACATTATTACAGGCTGAAGGCCTGATTATTGGAAGTGCTGAGCCCTTGCAGCTTCAGCTGAATGAATGGAAGCTGAAGGTGCTCTGCAAATCATGCCTGAGGCATTTTGTTCTCTTAAAGGGATTGAGCCTTACCTCATAAATATAGGTCTCTGCTTCGACAAATTCCCTGTTGACTACACATCCTTTGAAGTAAATGGAGATTATTTGATTAGAATGAAACCTATGCTCCAAAATTAACTCTAACCCTCACTACATAGCTGAGGAATTGATTAGATTTTAGTAAATCTGGTGTTAAAATTAAGCCTCAAATTTACAATTAAGCTTCAGAGTTTTGCTTTGCAATTGGAAAGCTGCATCTTGGGAAAGATCAGAAACCCTCTTTCTTGGGAGCTTTGGGTGACTGCAAGCAGAACTTGGGTTTATATGGCAGCAGGTACTGAAATGGCAGAGGTAACTAAATGTGCTGAAAGGGAGGGGTTGTGGCTAGAAAGAGGTACCAATACCAGGAGGTTGTAGCTCGTGCAAAGAGTCAGCCTGCCTGCTTCATTCACATTCTCTTGCAGAAAGTCTTCATTCTAATTTTTCCAGTTCCACTGAGAGAAGGAGAATATCAGGCAGTGAGTGATACAGCTTCAAGAAAAGGGGTGTTTTATCCCAGAGCTGGATACTTAATCCCAGTCTTGAAGAGAATGAAGCCTACCTAAGCTGTGGCTGTTTGATCCTGAAGGAAGGGAGATGCTGCTATATGGACATGTGAATGACTGCTGAAAAAGACCAAAAGAGTACTGATGCAGAAGTGAAAGATGAACTTAAGAGTTTTAAGGATAAAGTATATGATGAAGGCCTTAGTCAACTTGACTCTTATGCTCTTAAAAAAAAAAAAAAAAAAAAAAAAAAAGTGAAACCTGCTGAGGTGGCACTGTAAGTCATGGCAGGGTTTTAAAGATCCTTTTCTGTACTTCTCTAAAGCCCCTTCTGTTCCCAAGTTCCTCAGGCAGGCCAAGAGGTCAGCACTGCTTCAGTCCTGCCATTAAATTTTGAAAATCCATTCTTCTCACAAGGAGATTCACAGTCCTGTCAAACTGAACTCTTCCTTTCTGGGATCATCATCATTATACTATTATTTTATTCTGCCTTTCTTAAAGCCAGTAGTTGATTTAAAAAAGAAAAAAAGTTGTGGGTTGTTTTTTTTTGGTGGATGGGTACGTTTTGTTTTTTTGGTTGCTGTTGTCGTCCTGTCTTGTCCTGCCCCCACCCCACCCCCCTATCTCAGATAAGGGACACATGACATAAGATCAAGAGATTCAAAGAACAATTTGAATCAGTTATATTTCCATCTATATGTCTCTCTAGATTTCTTTGGTTGCCTCTGTGGTATATCCATATAGAATGTGGTAGCTCATCTACTGTATCAGCAGACCTTCACATTTCACTGTGTACTTTGATCTAATATTGTGTTGTGACTGATCAGGTTTTGTATTTGGTTCTCAGACAATATGGTGCATGCTGTTAGCAGTGGGGAAGGCTGTTAACTTTGATGAGAAGGCTTGTGTTTCTGTCTGTCCTTCTCTGTCCTGGCCTGAATGACAAACCTTGGCACAAACAAAGCACCCATTGAGAGAATATTCAGGGAAACGGGTAGTTGCTCCCTCTTGCTCTTTCTGCTGGTCTCATACAGGGAGGCACTGTGCTATGTTTCATTGCCTTTTAAGACTGTAGTCCGAGGCTGGATTTTCAGGATATTCTTTTGACAATCTTTGCTACTAGAACTAGGATTCCTGTCCATTATGGTACTCACTAAAGTTTACGGCTGGTTGCATTTTATTTTTGTTTGTTTGTTTGTTTTTGGTAGTTCCTGCCTGTAAATGTTTTATTCCACTGCCCCTTGTTTTTCTGTTTTTAGCCAGTGAGACCTGCAACGATTTCCATCCCATGTTCTTCACCCATGACAGATCATTTGAGGAGTTCTTCTGTATCTGCATTCAGCTCTTGAACAAGACATGGAAGGAAATGAGGGCAACTTCAGAGGACTTCAACAAGGCAAGAAAAGGGGTGGGGAGGGAATAACTGGGCAGGATGTTGAAACAAGGCCATGTTTTCTTCCCTAGAGGCACAGGGATTTACTAATCCCACTTCTGCTGAATACTGTGATGTGTCTTCTCTTCAGATTCTTCGTACATCAGAGGGGCAGCATTTAGAAAGCAGGGGGATTGAAAAAGGTCTATGAATCTCCCTTACACCTCCCACGGTGTAAGGGAGATTCATAGACCTTTTTCAATCATGTTACACTGCAAACTGGAAATACAAACCTGGCTTGAGGGTATATTCTGCCTTTTTATGTTAGCAATATTATGCTGAAGTGCTGCAGCCTCTAACGTTGTAAATAATGCAAACAGACTGTTGCAGTGATAATTCTGTGCATCCCTTTCATTTCATACGAGAACTGAAATAGTAAAATATTAAAGAGTGGACACAATCATGACAAAGTGCTGTACAATCTGGCCAGCTGAAACAAACCAAAGCAACCAACCATCAGTATTGCACCCTTTTGATTGTATGAGAAATCTGGAAGTTTCAGACAGTCATATGACCGACAGCAAAGGTGTGGAGAACAGGGGTGTCTTTCTTAATGGGCTGTAGAAATCCTAATTTAACTCTCTAACATACCAGGAGGCTGAACAGTATCTTTGGCATTTTGTAAGAATGACAAATTCATGTTTTTGTGTCCTGCTGGCATCTCTATCTTTGTTGGGAAGCTCTGCATCTTGCGCCTCTCTGACTGAGATCAGATGTTGATTATAGGGGTATTGGTTGAGAATGAAAAGGGAGGCAGCTGCATTGTGTCAGCATGTTCCAAAGAAGTGCTCTGATACCACCAGACTCAAACGCTATGCGAGAGCTAGTAAGAATGATTGTGCCTACCTTCTAACTGGAGCTGTCTACTAATGAAATTATCTAAATATCATTTTTCCGCTGCAAAAGGAAGGTGAATCCTTCAGACACAGTGTGGAATAACCTGTGTTGATTTCTTTTTGGTAAGATAGCAATGCCTGAAGCCTGGCAAAACAGAGAATGGAAGTCCAAAGTGCCTGCTGTTGTAACTAGATAACCTAGAGGCTTGTTCTTGTGTAGAATTTCTGACACGCTTCTTATGGTACAAAGAAGAGCAAAAGGAGCAATGATGAGATATTCCACTGAAAAGTATAGCAACCTAAAATCAAAGGCTTAAAAAGGCTTAAAAGCAATAACCTTTTTTATAAAATACTACTTTATATTCTGTGGTTGTTTAAAACAAATGGATTAACAACTGCCTGTTGTTTACAGGCCTTCTGTCTCAGTAGAAAAAGGATTTGTGTATATAAGTTTCCACAACTTGAATTTGAATATTATTAGTTATTGAATTATTATTATTAGGGGAACAAAAAAATGTTCTATTTCTGGCAACAGCCCAGATCACCCTAAGAGAAGGTACAGAAATGTTCTTATCTGTGTTAGATACCACTGTAGTGGTACACAAGGTAGTTTCTTCTCTGATCTGGTAAGTTAGTTATGTTTTAAGTTACTGAAAGTCCTATGGTTTCACCGAGCAACTCTTGAAGGTTGAGCAGGGTAGGCAGTAGGTCCTGCTGCCTCTGTCACTGAAGGTGTAGGAGGCCTTTAACTCTATGGGGCAAATCCAAAACATGTGCCACCAGCCTACTGAGATTTGTGTATGGTGGGTGCAATTGGTGAGATGCTGGTCCAGTATCTTCTTCCTCCTGTAAAGGGGAGGGAATACTAAACTCCCATGACTGTCATTTCTAGCAGTTCAGTAGTTATGTTCTGCCTATCTGAATCTTTTCTTTTAGTCACAAGGAGATTTTTGTGCTCTTTATCCACTTCAAATGGCATGTGGTGGTGATGTGCATTACTCAGCTGTTATCTGTCTTAAAGGGATCTGTGAGTAAAGCAAACCATGTTGTTGTGTGGGCTTGTGAAGCACTTCTGGATTTGTGGAGGATGCGATGTTATGTAGTGGTACCCCAAGGTTTACTCATCTGGTTGGTAGCTGACAGCTGCCAGTGCTGATGGCTTTACCAAGCCACACAACACCATTTTTAATCCTTACCTGGCAAACAGCTTTGGTTTTCGTGGCATGTTAATATTCTTTCTTCATCCTTTCTGAGTGCTAAGTTTTTATGCAATGAGTTTTGCAAACTTAGCAAGTGAAGGTCATGTGGACACAGGGAACATTCAGCCCACACTTTCAGGAGTGAAGGGGAATAAAGTAGGGGCCTTAGAAGATGCAGTAGTTCAGCTGCTGTGAAAAATTCTCTTTTCTCCTCTCTTTGTATTACCATTTTTCAGTTTCAGTAACTTGATTGTCATGGTAATATATGAAACACCGCTTTTCTAGTTTGCTGTCTACCTGAGTGATGGGATCGTTCATTTTCTTCCTTCCTTGCTTCCTACTCCAAAATCTCCAAAACAAAATCAGAAGCTCCCAATATGGTAACTCTTTATTGAGACCTAGAGATTGCATTTAAAAGCTAATCTGCTTGCTTTCATCTTTAATCATAATTGAAGAGAAGGAGCTTTTTTGTTGAACTTTTGATTAATCTCCGTAGATTGCATATGAGAGGTGGTAGGAGGTCTGTGTGCACATATGAAGATTTATTTCCTCATCTCTTGCACTTTCTCGCTAAGAGAAGTGAGGTGATTGAATACTTCCCCACTTCAGTTCTTATTCTCAAGGGCTTTTTAAGACACAGATTGACTTTCTTTTGACAATAATACTGTATACTGTGACATCGTGGTTCCTCAGTCCATGTTTTGGAGATTTCCTATAGCTTCTTTCCCTTCCTTTTTTTCTTTATTTTCTTTTAGAGTTTTTTAAAAAATATAAAGGTACTTTGTTCACAGTTGGAAAAATGCAATGATGTTTTAGTGAGACATTTATGATCCCATGCTTTGTCTCTCTGATTCTCATTCATTAAAACAGACACCTTTTGTCAGGCTCAGCTCTTGCATTAGCAAAACTCCTTGGATCTCTATGGTGATAGTATGATACTGTCAGACCTAAAACCTTTTTTACAGCCTCTCAATATACTCGTAGATTTCTGAATAGAATAATTCAGTCAGGCAGCTAAGCTTATATTATGTCTGTATAACATTTTAAGACATGCATAATTCATGTCTGGTGAGTTTTCTAGAGAAATTAAGATGCAATAGGGTATACAGATGTGCAAGTGGCAACAATTCCATTTGAAACCTTTTTGTTTTCCTTTGAGCCTGCAATTGATCAAAGGACACGTTCAAGCTCTTTCCTCACAATCATTTGTGAACAGACAGCGTGGTTTATGACTTTAGAAATGTAAAGCTTGGAGACAGGATTATATAATCTATGTTTTATTGCTGCAAAAGAAAACATTGTGTATAGAGGTTGGAGACAGTGATGACTATAAGAAAGCTGAATAGATTTATCTTATACTCTAGCATCTAGAAACTTTCATCACCAACCTGCCCATTTAAATAGGTGTTCGTCTGTTGGTTTTTCCTCCTGGAGGTCTAGCTATTCTCTGCTCAGCCTGCTCGAGGTAACCAGGCCCTGCTGTTACACAAGCTATGATGTACTGACTGGTTGATTTTTTGTTTAACTTGTTTTTAACATAATGGTAAATGGAATTCAACCACTGTAAATGGAATTCCCCACTGTAAAATTCCTCCCATGGGGCCAAATTAAAGTATGCTCCTAATGGAAAACTGTGTTGATCACCACTAATTTTGCTTAGGTAAATACCCCCGTGTTGCCCTAATGAAGATTTACATTGAAAGAGGGATCCTGTGTTAGTGATCTTCTTGTAAAATACACCTATTGTATATTGTAAGATGAGGAGACCACAGATGGGAGAACATGCAAGGGAAAAGATTATCCTCACCTCTGTTCTCCAGATTTGTCTGATGTTTTTATAGGTTTGAAGTTCACCTGCTGATAGGAAGAAGGGTGAGCAAATGGGTTACCTTATTTGCAGGGCCAACCATAGTTTGTCTTGTTAGACCTAAAGAACATTATGAACAATTTGCTAGTTCTGTGCCTAGGGCCATCTTAAAAACAAACAAACAAAACAAAAAGCAAGGAGAATAAGAATTAAAAATACTGCTTCCAGCACCAATATGTAAGAAAAAATGAAATTCCAATTCACCTTCTGAGGTTTTGAAGCTGCTTTGTAGAGAATGGGCACAGTTGTAGCTGTTTTTATTAGTCTTTCATTAGTCTATGAGGTAGTTTTAGGTTTTTGGTGGCCCAAAAATGAGTAGTCAAAACAAGACACAGTTTATTTTCTCAGCACAAATGAAGCTGAGTAGAAGACACCAAAACTGAAAAACTTTGAAAGTTCTGCGCTGCTTGGTGTTTGAAATCAAAATCTACTGCATTCACTGAAACTGTAGATTTAGGGAATTGGAAAGCAGAGGAAGGCTGGCTAATGATGCCACTGATGCATTTTTCTCAATTACTGAGAACTCAGTTTATTTTGCCCTCTGGCCATGTGTTTGAGATCATTGTAGTATAAAATACGAACTTTTAAATGTTCTGTGAAAAATTGTTTTGTGTTGCTGTAATGAGAAGAAAATTCTCAGAAACGCCCCAAACCCTTTGATTTCAGCACCTTGGCAAAGCTGGCTTTCGTTTCACAGCAGCAGGGCTGCGCACCCCAGAGCAATTGTGCTTGTGGTATCTGTGTCAGTGATGCACGAAACCTTAGCACTGGGTTCCCTTGCAGGAGAGGGGTCTGCTCTGCGCGGTTATAATATGTGTCTCTGAAGGGTATACACAGGAAAACACTGTGTTGTGTGGTAATCAGTATAGTAGATATTGTTCACGGTGGCAGCAGATGCAAACAATAAATGCTCTATGTGAGTCCTGTAATTAAATACCAAAGCAAACAGCAAGGCACTTGATAACCACAAAAGATGTTTATTGCTTATGCTTAGACCCTGTGAACATTTTTCCTTGCTCTGTGACAAGATAACAGAAAAGGTAACCAAGCGTAACATAAAAA